GTTTTGATAGCCAAAAATCGTTGCGCCTGCATCGCTTCACCCTGCAGTCACTTACTTGTACACATGCGCCTGAAATAGACTCACTACAACACAACCTACCACAAACATTACATATGCCAAGTGAACGCCAAACCAAGCCATATCATAACACCCCCGCATATAGGAGAGGTCCAGCAACTTAAGGAGGCTTGAATGGCAAGGGAAGTCACACTAATCCAGGATCTGGAAACGTGAACAAGACAGAATCTCATTCTAGATGACAGATCAGAAGGAAATAATCTGCAGCCTCCCTCTAGTTTATATACTCTGCGAGGGAGGACACCTACACCTACACTAACAGTATATGCAAGAATGCCAAGCCCATGAATGAAAATGTTAGTAAGATCAACGAATTACTCTTTGCAGATGACCAGGCCTTGATAGCAGATACAGCCATGAAATTGCAACAACATCTAACATCCATGAATGAAGAATGTAAAACAAATAATATGAGAATCAACACTGAAAAGACAGAAGTAGTGTCAATAGGAAAAAAGAAGACAGATTTAAACATAGCAATAGAGTGCAAAGGCATTAAACAGGCATCTGAGTTTAAATAATGGGAACTACATTTACCGAAGATGGGAAATTGGATAAAGAAATTAACATTAGATGCAGTAAAGCAAACCAAGTATTGGGACAGCTAGCCCCCCTCTTACAGCATAAGACAATCCCAATCAGCACAAAGAGACATCTTATTCAAAGCATTTTTATTCCAACTCTGTGCTACCAGTGCCAGACATGGTCACTCACAACAAACCATAAAAGAAAATTAGTGACCATGGAGATGAGATGTCTGAGAAGGGCTGTAGGAGTGACCATAAGAGATAAGATCAGGAATGAGATCATAGGAGAAAAAGTCGGCACAGAACCAATTCTAAATTACATACGAAGGCAGCAGGTGAAATGGTTTGCCCACTTAGAGAGAATGCCTTGTGACACCATACCATACAAAGCATACATGGAAAGAGAAGAGGGACGTAGAGCACGAGGTAGACCAAGAACAAGATGAAAGGATAACATCAGAGAAACTCTACAACAGCAAGTTGTGCCTATGGTCGAGGCAGCCAGAAGAGCTAGAGACAGAACCTTATATCTTCCTTGACACCCACACCGGTAAAAGAGGAAGTGAAGAAGAAGAAGAAGAGGGAGGAGAACTGGAGCATACTGTGGCAATAAAAAAGTCGGAAGGGAAAGAGAGGCGGAGCCAGAGAGAATTTGGCATTGCTGCATAGAGGAATATCTGTATAAAAAATACTGACAGTACAAGAGACAGAAGATGCTGGACAGGCATGTTTAAGTTTACCACTTGGCAAGGAATCAAGTTAGCTGCATGTCCTTTACATCAATCAATGAGGTGCCATCTTCACAATGGGTCTCTCTGTGGTGAAGTGGTCAAGCTGTTTGCCTTGCACTCTGAAGGTCGTGGGTTCCTTTTACAGTTGTGCCCTTCAGTTCCTGAGTGTAATTTTTACAGAGATCCTTGGGGGATCGTCGCCGTAGCTACGGAGTTCAAGCTCTGTGCTACATTCTCAATTTTAGGCTGGTTTAACCTGGCAGCCAAGGTCACTTTTTGGGGGGAAATCAAACCATTGTGTTCTACTTTAGTGATTTCTTTTTGTTGTTCACTGTAACATTACATTTTCTAGCCTGTCCATTATTCAGTTTGTAACCTTCGGGCTGCTACCTCAAGGTTTACCACACCATCCTGAGATTAAAGAATCTTATTCTGGATGGCAGATCTCAGAAACCTCATTCAACCTCTAAAGAGGTCATAATGTGCACTCATAACAGCCTCACAAACAAGTGTAACCTGCAGTCCTATGCAGGTACGAAGGTTGTCTTCTAGTCATACACCAAAGTCCTTAAAAAGCAAAGACTTCACGAGGTCATCTTCTAGTCATACACCAAAATCCTAATAAAGCAAAGACTTCATACAAGGTAGTCTTCTAGTCATACACCAAAGTCCTTATAAAGCAAAGACTTCATGAGGTCGTCTTCTAGTCATACACCAAAGTCCTTATACAGCAAAGACTTCACAGCCTCAGTCATTCAGACCACAAGAATGTGGTGTTTCAAAGTAATTTCACTATGAACAGTTACCATATGGTTAAAGAATGCCTGCAACTATGGTTAAAGATCCCATAATTGAAATAAGAATGAAAAAATAGCATTTAAAAAAAAAAACATTTTGAAAAAAAAAAAAATTACTAGGAGGAAAAGACTTCTTGTTGCCCATATTCTAATTCTTCTTTGCGTTCACCAGCTGTAATATCTGGCGGAAAGTCCTGGCTGTTTGTCCACTTCTGGACTCTAGTCCTATTCCTGAAACTGACTGTTACGTGCACATCTTTTCTGACTCATTTTCATGCAGACTGTTGATTCCTACTCTTTCAGGTAAATGTACTCTGACTTGAAGGGAAGCTTGCCAATCAGTCGACTCTTACAACATGTTTTTACAGAATATTTTTTTCCCAATAACGGGGCCCTGGACTCACACGGGGATAGCCCGTACTGAAATCCTAGCACATCAGTCTGACCTACTTGTGCTCTAGCAGCCATCTCATTGACTCCATGCTCAATGTATCCAGTAGGAGTGGAATGACATAACATTTTTCTTTGCCCTGTGTAACTGCTTTCTGTGTGCTTGCCCTCATTTAACATACACTTTCAACAGCGGGTTCACAGTCTCTGACTTCAATGTATCAATGTCCCTGGAACAGTGCATTTAGTATGCCTGCTGTGTCAATACCTCTTCCTCCACTAATCACTGTAGGCATGGCCAGTCTATCAGCTCTTTCATTTCCTTTCACCCAAGTGTATCCCAGGGAGTCACCGTGGTCTAGCGGTTAGATGCTCGCCTGCAGATCGGAAGGTCATGGGTTCAGTTCCTGACGGGTCGACCCAGCCTTGAGTGGGTACCAGGTACAGTCCTGGGAAGTAAAGACGGCCGGCGTGATGCTGACCACATCAAATGCTGTTTGGTCTATAAAATATAGGTATAGCTCTATATACCCAATACGCTCGAAAGGCATGGAAATGGGTCTTTTTATATCCTTCAAGTCTGTCCCAGTGTGTACAGCTAGGACAGATAAGGTTACTAAATCACCTAAGTGGAAGTCCATATTAAAGTGTTCTTGGGAAGAAAAGATAGCAGAACACATGATGATGTAACATGTCATTTTCAGTTGTGTGGGAACTAAATCTAGGATGGTCCCAAGGTCTGGGGTTCAAATCTTCATTCACTTCGAGGCTGTACAGCTAAATGAGCACTAGATAATGTCTTACTGGTCCATAAACATATCTGTCAATAGTTAATGGGGGGGGGGGGGCAGAGAATCTGGAGCATGAGACAAAAGAGAAGACATATAGAAAAGGTACAGAAAGACAACACAGGGAAGATAACATAATATGTGTAGAGGCTGAAGAGAATAGCTTTCTACATCTTTCTGTGAATCCATCTTTCCTTTAGGTCTCTAAAATGTTCACTTTCTGGTGTCAATAATGATTTCTAGTTTTTTTCTTCTCAGTGTTATCCCCAGATATTGATAGAATGTGTGTGTTCACATGTGGATGATAATCGTCTCTACTTCTTCAGCAATCTAAGCCCATGAGGTTCACGCTGCAGATATCACCTGTCTCCAGTCAAACCGTGACTGGCCTTCTCTTACCAGTTGGTGACTCTAAGTGTGCATCTGGCCGATGCTCAACACAGAAGAGCGATGAGACAGATATACAATCAGATGGTTACTGGTACCATTGGAATTGAAACTCTTCACTTGCTGCTGAAGATGAGGCCTGAGCACTTATGGGAGTGTCCCGAGTGCTGTGATTTTGATTCTTAATTCAATATTCAACGCCAAGTGTTTGTAGGTCTGCCTATAAATTGTCTTTTAAATCTCTTTGTGGTCTACTCCTACTTTAGAGTTCACAGTTTTAGTCTCTGTGTTATCTGCTAAACTCTCTATATGCCCCAACCATTGCAGTCTATTAGCTCTCATGATGACAGTAATGAGTAATTATTTAAACAAAATATGAGTTTATTATGAATATACTGCAACATTTATACATCTTTATACATATTTTTCTGTATCTCATCAGATGCCAACGACAGAAATAACATCAGCATATAACAAAGCAAAAACATAAAATGAATCCTTTCAAATAAAAATGCAGAAATTATTTTGTTCTTTCACAGAAAGTTTTATTACCATAGTCTTAGACTAATTACATGCTAATTCTGTTTGCTTAACAAGAGACTGCCAATCCATACTGAGCTTGCCTCAATATATTTCCTTTCTTCCATAGCGTCCACTGGCCAAAAACTCAGATGGAATGTTCTGGTTGTTCGTCCATTTCTGGACTTTATTTAGTCTTGTTCCAAAACTTGAGCTTTAAATGCAAATCTGTTTGTACAGATCTAGCTTATTCGTACGCAGATTGTTAGTTCCTTGCCTTTCAAGCAGATGCACTCTGAATTCAAAGGAAATAACCCTAATTCTTCTTCTTCTTCACTTCCTCTTTTACCGCTGTGGGTCTCGAGGGAGATATAAGGTTCTGTCTCTAGCTTTTCTGGCCGCCTCGATCACAGGCACATCGTGCTGTTGTAGAGTTTCTCTGATGTTATCCTTCCATCTTGTTCTTGGTCTACCCCATGCTCTATGTCCTTCTTCTCTTCCCATGTATGCTTTGTATGGTATGGTGTCACAAGGCATTATATCTAAGTGGGCAAACCATTTCACCTGCTGTCTTCGTATGTAATTTAGAATAGGTATACCCCTAATTAGTCACCTTTTAAGACATGCTTCTTATCGGGCAGTGGGTCTATTCTTTTTTTTCTTTCTCCAAGAAATGGGGTTCCAAAACTGACCTGGAATCTACACACTTCAATACCTGTCATATAATTTATTACAAAGATAATCTATATCTTTCTCCCTTGCATTTGTGGACGAACAAAAGAACTACCATCCCCAATCTTCATAATGACTGTTAAGTATTTCCTCCTCTTTAGGAGGCAGCAGCGAAGGAGGTACACCAGGAAAAGCTGCAAGACAATCTGCCAGTTTATACTCTGGTACAAACACTTGGCTAATTTTGTCCTCACATGTCTTATCACTCAATTCACTTTCAAGCTTTTGTCTCTTGGCTCTGTTTTCTGCCCATTTATCTAAAGACTCTTTGAGGTTAACTTTAATGTTTGATTGTTCCCTCTGTTTTTCTTGAGCTTGTTCTTTCTGTCTGACAATTTCCACCAGCTGTGCCCTGGTTTCATTTGTCAGATGGGAATACTGACAGCGTTCACCAAATTTACATTCTCCTGTGAAAGAAGGGAGACAAAAGATTGAATTACTGCACCTGAAGGGAAAAAAAACTAAACATACATTAATCATTATATAATGTTTATGTTAACTACAAAATTTGCTACCGTCATATACATCAAATGCTTCTTCTTTTTATTCCCCCTGCAAGTGCAATTCTCTGTGTTAGTTTGTATCAGGACATTCTAGTTAGATGTCCAAACCATCTCACCTGTTGCTCTTTAACTAACTGAATCACCGGTCTAGTCTTACTAAGTCTTCTGTATCTTCTCTTCTTCTTAGTGTTTACCAGCTGTAAACTCGGCAGAAAATGTTTCGTCCACTTCTGGACTGCAGTCTTGTTAAAAAGAAGTTGAATTTTGCATGCACATCTATTTTACAGATCTGGCTTACTTGTATGCATACTGTTGGTTCCTCGCTCAGGCAGAGGTGCTAAGACTTCAGACGAGTTGCCTTTCAAGACATGCTTGTTAGGGAGGCAGTTGATCTATTCTAGGGAGTCTCTATAGTGAAGAGGTTAAGCCGTTTGCCTCGTGTTCAGTAGGTCATGGGTTAGTTTCACAGCCGTGCCATTCTGTTCATGTGTGCGATTTTTACAAAGATTCCTGGGGATCATCGCCGGACCTAGGGAGTTTATGCTCTGTGTAGCATTCTCGGCCGACAGCTAGCTGTTCTGCGTAGAGAACCTGAGCCATATGGGACAAAACCTGGTGCAATAAAGCTTATCGTCACAAATTTAACCTTTGATCTATTCTCCCCCCCCACCCCATTCCAGAATAAGGGCCCCAGAACCCATATGGGAATCTTCAATATCAATGGCAACAGGACATAAATTATGGGTGATATGTTCAATAACACAGGCTATCTTTACGTTGGTTTACTGTGAGGGAATCTCGGTACACAGTAGCTAAATGCTTGTACAGAAGTCTTAGGCTCAAACCCACACTTGACAGATCTGAAACAAACGCCCTGGCTCCAAGGTTCACTCATGCTAAATTCCTAAATGGCTACATATTAATAAGAAGTAAAAGTGGGTGACATGATGTTGACCACATAACCCGCTGAAAGTCTACTGGTCTTTAAAAATTTACATCTAGAATCGTGGGCCCAGTGCATCACTAGTGTAAAAAAAAAAGTCAATTGCATTTTTCTAGATCTTTTTTTTCCAGAACCGACTCTGGTAAGCAGTTTTGGATGGGCTGGACATGGAAGACTAGGTGAATTTTTAGCTTCTCACTCCACAGAATTCAACATTATGATCACATGACTGGCAGGTCAAGTGTGCTAGCCACTCTGTCACTGTAGCACCCACAGTAACTTCAAGAGCCTTAATAGTACCCACAGTAACTTCAAGAGCCACTGTAGTGCCCATGGGTAACTTCAAAAGCCAAAATAGTACCTAGAAAAGCCACTATTGTACCCTAAATAACTTCAGGAACACATAACTGTAGCATCTGATAATATCTGGATGCAGAGCAAAGACCAGACAGTTGTTTCTAAACTTCATGAATTAAAATAATACCAACAGATGAAATAATGGTGTTTAAAATGATGAACATATTTCAGTTTAAAGAAAACAGTACTGTTTATGAGATAATCTGCCTTAGCATTAGGATGATGAAAAATGTCAGTATTTTTCGTGTTCCGAATCCACGATAACAAAATCAAAGATCGTGGTAAACTGTGAAATGTGCCTCCTCATTTCATTAATTATTTTGTTCAAGGCTGCAGACATTTTTGAAAATGACAACATTAAAGATTCAATAACAAAAATGATCAGACTTGCAGCTGTAATTCATTCCTTTCAAATTTAGTATATAATAATATTAATATTTATTTAAACTTGGGCAGGATACTAAAATTTAACAAAAATAATTTACAATATATCATATTTAAATTGTAAAAAAAAATGACCTGCTTAACGAGCGACGTTTCGCATAACGAGTGGCGAGGAGAGAGTAAGTCTCGAATTGTAAACATTTTACATCAGTCTGTGTTTAGCACTCGTTCCAGTAGCATTGTAGTGTCGCTTGTGATCACACATTTTCTCAAACTTGTTTTATATTGTGATATATGTACATGAATCCTCCAGGCCTACAAGATGACCTCCGAAGAATTTAAGTCATCAAGATCCAGTTTCTGCCTCCCAACACCACTACGTTACGCCAACCCATGGACCAGCAAGTTATTTCTAACTTTAAGAAGCTCTACACTTAAGCACTCTTCGAGCACTGTTTTTTAGGTGACTGAAGGGACCAACCTCACTCTCAAAGAATCTTGGATGCTGTGTCACATTTTCGCTAAATTTTGAAGCGTCGGCAAAAACAAATGTCTCTGGACATCTTTCTAGTAAACAAAAAAAAATAATTAGCTATGTATCATAATTATTTCGACTTTTTTCTGCAAATCAAATTCACATTCCAGGTGAGTTCGTTCCGCGTTTGAAGAAAAGATAATTAGATATGGATTCAACTTTTGTCTCTCTCCTTAAATTCACATAGGTATTTCGTTTCCGCATTTAATTTTCTTTGAACAATAAATTTTTTTTTTATAAACATATACATTGTAAGTATTTTTTTTTCTACATGGAACGCATTATCGTATTTTACAATAATTTATATGAGAAAAATTGTTTTGTATAACGAGTGTTTCGCTTAGCGAGTGTAATTCTGGAACAAATTATGCTCGTTAAGTGAGGTTCCACTGTAAATATATATATATATATATATATATATATATATATATATATATATATATATATATATATATATATATATAGATATATATATGTGTGTGTGTGTGTGTGTGTGTGTTTTTGTTTAAGTAATTGTTTGGTGGTTTGCAAAATTATATTTTATCTGAATTCCCCCCCCCACCCCCCCCACACCCCAAAAAAATAATTACAAATTAATTATGTTCTGAACCAGTCAATGCAGTGCAACACAAATGTTTACTTTTTAATAATAAATTATGAAAAGATTCAAAAATAATTTTTTTTTTAAAATAATTTAGTAAAACAATTAATACCCACCAGTGGATAGAAACGATCTGCATGGCTTCTTATTCCTGTCATCATTAAGAATATCTTTTTCCTCTCTGAAGGAGTCATAGTGGGCTTTACGAGTTTGTATATGTGAATTTCCCGTGAGATGGGTTTTTCTGCTGGTTGGGTTATCAGCAAAAGATTTATCACAATACTCACAATAATACCGCTTGCCCATCGTTCTGTGTCTTTCTGTGCAATATTCAATATATTATTGATCTAACTATTACATTACAATTATATCTGCAGTGTTGTTTCTATATATTAATAGTATATTTTAGTCTTTTTATTTCTTAAATTAACCACAGACCATGGAATGTTCCCACTCTCACTGACTGTAAATAAATTCGTCAAAACTATAAACATAAAACAAATTTCTTATGCCAAACATTAAGGCCGAACGTGACAATCCTATACTCAGTACCAAGGCTTTCTGTAACATCAGATCGCCAGCTGGAGACGCAGACGCTATATTGCTCAGTGCTGTTACAAACTAGTTAATCGTAATAAGTATTAAGGGGGGTTGAATCCAGGGCAGTATTAATTACTATTAGAGAACATGTTTTGCCGTCCATAGCACCAAATATACACGAATGTCTATATGGAAGTAACTATGGGTGAAGTATAATATACATAAAAAGATAAGGTTGGGATACAAACAAAACGCCTGTGGCAACACGACGAATGTAAATACGGCACGTCTGTCAGAAATCAGAACTCAACAAAACGGGTTTAGAACTCCAGATCCTCCAGCTTATTTAATTTAGCAGTAACGTCCCCTTGAAACAAAAATTTGGCAATAAAAAGAGGCGGAACAATGTGTTTGCAGGGCCGTGTTCAGGTTCATCATCATCATCATCATGAACCACTTCTGCCGTTAAGCAACGTGGGGAGGAATAATTTGCGATCCAGTGCACGTTGGCTGCCACTGGCTATTGTCATGCCGTGAAAACGTAGAGTGTCTTTAATGTTGTCGATTCATATTTTCCGCGGCCGTCCTCTTGCTCTTGTAGTTGATCTTCTGAGATGTAGTGCTTGTGATGGTATTTGATCTTGCTGCATTCCAACGAGATGGCCAAACCACTTGATCTGCTGTTTCTCGATGAATCTAGTACAAGGTGTTGTTCCCACAATTTGCCTGATAGTTTCATTATTCACTCGATCTCGGATGGTTAGGTTGGCTGCTTTTGTCAGGCATCTCATCTCGCAGATGGTAATTGTGCGTATATGGGCTTTAGAGTTGTCCATGTTTGGCACTGAAAGCTTAATGTTGGAATAAACATGCTATTAATAATCTGTCTCTTTGCATTCATAGTTATGCTTGGATGTCTTATTAATGGTGACAATTGGTATATAAGTGCACTTGCTTTCTGACATCTGGTTTCTATTTCTCTGTCAATTCTACCATCTTCTGTGATCATGCTTCCTAGATATTTAAACTCTATAAATTGATTCAGGGCAGAACCATTCAGCTGTATGTGTAGTGGGGCATAATGTCTACTAACTTGCATTGTTTCGGTTTTGTTTACATTGATCTTCATGTTGTATTTACTACATGCTGAGTTTAACCTGTTAATGTGATCTTGCACTTTATGTTCTTCAGGGTAGAACAAGCACTGGTCGTCAGCAAACAGTAGTACGTTTAATGTGGGTGAATCGATTACTTCTCCTGATGTATGTACTTCCTCGTGATTATAAAGGTCTATGTTGTCTGTATCATAACTTGCTTCTTTAGATATTGTGTCTATATAGATGTTAAATAAAAGTGGGGAGAGCACACATCCCTGTCTCACACCTCTGTTGACTGTGAACATATCTGATATGCCTTTTCAGATATGTTCACAGTCAACACAGGTTTAGGTTAAGAGTGTAAAATGTGCGTCGGCGTCTGTGGTTTAGGCGTTGCGGACGAGCTCCGTAATGCTGGAGTGCCGGGTTCCATTCTAGTTGCAGGCCCTGCTCCTGGAATCGGTTTCGACAGTGGTATCTAAAAGCTGACCGTCCAGAAAGCAATGGCAAACTACTGGACGTGCATTTGCATAGAAAACCCCTTTAGCAAAAACAATAAAACGGTTGAGTAACATGTGCAGCAGTCCAGGGCAGATAATTCTAAGAGCGGCTGGGTAGTATTTTTTTTTTTTATGTCAGTATTCTTGTAGCTTTTATCATTTTGAAAATTGTGTCTTGCATTGCGCATCTTGGCGCAGTTAGGACCCAACTTAAACATTTCTTTTATCTGTTGTATTTTTAGGTGAGTTTCAATGATCCAACACAGTTAAAACAGAAGCACTTATTCCACTTATTGTTGGTAGTCTGCGAACCAATAGCGATGTTGAAGAACGTGCCGGAAAAAAGGATTTAAAACAAATTACTTAACAGGGGCGCCATGCATCCTAAATACGGTACTGGAGATACAGTTTGTGGTTTGAACAACGGATAAACATCATGGCACACGGATAGTAATCCATAAGTGCTTCGTTCTTCTTCGAACTCAAGTCTGAGTCCGAAGAAACTCAGCACAGGCTTTGTAGCACCGTCGAGGATCCTGAAATACTTTAGGTAGATTTTTAACTCTAAATTTTGCCCGGGCAACGCCTATATGCTACTCTTTTTTGATTGCCAGGGGATTTTTTTTTTACTTGTGCAATAATACACACGGGCGTCCGATCTTACTACCAGGGGGAATTACTAGAAGTACAAGTCCACGTGAACAAAATCACAGCCCTTATTGGGGATTGAATGCGGAACCTCTAGCGATCGAGGAGGACACCATGCTTTGAGAACACACAGCCCCTCTGGTGACAGGGATGTACCAGGAAGTAAAGGCGGTTGACCTGACACTGTCCATGCGATCCATAGTGCGCCGATACTGGTATAAAATGTTTGCACTTAGTAGGTAAAACGACTCAGGAAAGGAAAAGGGCTTCTTGTTCACATCAGGCTAGTGTTCTTATTCCGGGTGCCACGCGTTCCGACACATAGAAAGCTGTGGGAAATGTTTGGGAAAAACCGGGGATTCCTTAAGTTCAAGCGCGCCTGACGGATGATCCAGTTATAAGTTCTTTGGCGTTAATCGGGGATCTGCGTAGCAAGGATTGGCAAGTACAGGTTCCTATAGGGCTGTGAATCCTGGACAATTAATGAACAAGTCGAACTCTATCTTGGGGCCTCGGAGATGTGGTTTTACAAAAGAATCGTTAGAATTCCTTGGACAGCTGAAAAGACTTACCCAGATGTTTTGAAAGAGGCAGGTGCACACAGACAACTTATTACAAACATCAGAAAGACACAGTAATTATTTTTTGGGGTCATGTTATGAGAAAAGGGAGACTGGAATATGTTGTGACCACTGGAAAGATTTGGGGAAAGAAAGGCAGAGGAGGTCAGCGAGAAAAGATTCTTGACAAAATTTTGTCATGGCATGAAGGGGTGTCAACACACGAACTGATACACGCAATTGCGAATCGCAGACTGTGGAGAGGCATGGTAGCTCACGCTGGTCGGCAAAGCACTTGATGATGATGATGATGAAGATGATGATGATGATGATGATGATGATGATGATAGTGAGTAACCATGATCATATCTAACGCACTGAAATCCTGGCCGATGCCACACATGCCACACACTAAACCAGAGAGGTGGGGGCTGGGGGGGGGGGGTGGGGTGAAAGAGAACGTTTCAATGTCGGCGTCAAACAATTTTGAAATTGAGTGCATTTGCACTTGTAATAGTCCAGATTTTCAGCGCTGTTAGCTTGATGCGGAGAGTGGTCTTCGTTTGGGCGTTGTCGAACATCAGACTAAAAAAAGCAGATATTACCCAGACACAATAGCCTCAACCATCTTATTGCTTTTTAGTGCCAAAAGCAGAAATTAACATACAAAGAGAGGGAGGGTGGAAAGGGGGAGGTGGGTGGGGTTGGAATTGAGGCAACATAAACAAAAATGTCTTCGACGAGTCCCAAATACAACAAGAAAAGTCAGTGTCAGTTACGTCAGCATCAAGAACCACAACGGGGAACAGAATCAGTGCTAAACTATATCACGAGACAACAGATCTCAACACTGTGAGGACAAATATGTTGAGACTACCACCAGATAATAAACAAACGGAGCTTTCTCACTTAGAGGCCAGTGGCTCTCAACCTTCCTAATGCCTGACCCTTTACAACAGTTCCTCACATTGGGATGACCCCCAGCCATGAAATTGTTTCCGTTGCTACTTCACAATTTCAGTGAACGAGTTTGTCGATGGTCTAGATACCCCTGTAAAAGAGTCGTTTGACCATCACAGGGGTCCACGACTCGCAGGTTAAGAACCATTGACTTTTAAGAAGCGGAAGCACATATAGAGTCACCCACTTAGGCAATTCATTTTTAGAATTATGAAGCAGCGAATACCAGCATCTACGTCACAGTCAAGATATTAACAAACAAGTGATATACAGCGCAATAGTCCAGCGTGGTCTCGAGGTATGGCAGGACGTCCCGGGTTTAACCCTCGGTGAAGGCTGGGATTCCTTCACTTACTTCTTTTAATTTCACTTGGTCTCTGGGTAGTAAGATCGGACGCCCGTGTGTATCGTTGCGCACGTAAAAAATCCATTGGTAGTTGGAAATCGAAAAGAGTAGCCTAACAGCGCGCTGCCCGGGCAAAATTTGGAGTTAAGAATTTACACAAAAGTATTTGAGGATTCCTCGCCAGTGCTACAGAGTTCGTGCACTGCGTTGAGAACCTTATGACTCACGCTTGAGTTAGAAGTAGAACGGAGCACATGGGTTACTACCCTTGTGCCATGATGTTGATCCGACGTCTATAACTAAGAATAAATAGTCCAGCATATGTCGGGTCATACAGGTGAAAGCCGAATGTTGTGCAGAGTATGCCAATCCTGCCATCCCACTTGTGCCAGAGGTTTTGTTCAGTTACTAGCCTTATCCTAGAACAAAGAGACGCAACATGAAAACAATACTATGAGGGCAGATTACGTCCTTCTCCTTGGCTGGCAATCGATTTAGAGCGGCAGATGTGAAAGGGGGACAACAAAACACCGCTCCTCTGATCCGTTAGCTTGTTCAGTAGCTTTGTCCCAAGCGTATTGGTGTTACCTTTCCTTTAGAATTAACAAAGGAGGGCGAGCAAGGAATCGGGACATCATGATCTGCATAAATGCCC